CTATCGGACCGGGCCCAAATTTGGGCTCAATAAAGCCTGCCTCATCTAGGTACTATGTATGTGTAACAAATTAATTGTCTAGCATGAAAATTAAAAAAGTTAGGAATATCTTACGAAAATCTCTTTTTTGGGGGGAAAAAAATCATTTCTCGAAGACTAAAAGACCTACAGGGTTGTATGATGGCTCATTTTAAAGCTTGTTCAATGCTCTAAAACTATTGCCACAGTAGCAAAACCATCCGATCCTTAGTTTTCGAAATACAGTGAAATAAACAAAAAAAAGCCCTGTTTTTGCACTAAATATTGTTTATAAAATCCCCTAAAAGTAATTAGATGTTGCATTTTTGGTTTTTAGCATCTATAAATGATCCTTAACAATATTGCATCGATAGTTTGCTTTTAAATTTTATGTTAAAATATGGCTGTTATTTCGCTAAGTGCCTTGGCCTATAAGTAGGGAATGTCTTTTCTTCTCCAATAGTTTGCATTTATCATGTAATCTATTTTCATGGCCTTAATCAAAGAAATGATCGGATGTTGATGAATGTTAACTGTTTTAGTAAAAAATTTAGTTCCCAACCATAAGCCATAACTATCTGAAGCCGCAGTCCATTTAGTTGGATTCTGCCAGGAGGACATTTATTGGCGTCGATTTGGTGCATCCGAGTACTATTCTTAGTGAATTGTATTAAAGCGTCTCAATTTTATTTGAGTTTTTCTTCCTTACGTTAAAAAGAAATGCTCCATATTCCAGATGCGACATATAACGATTCCAGAGTGAATGTTTATTAATGACTGTGGGTCACCATACTTTGCCGAACATTTTTAAAATGTACTTAATGCGTTTTCTGGCTTTTTGTGTGATATATTCCGTGTGTTTATTCCCAGTTAAGTTGGTTGTCGATGATCATACCCAAGTATTTGATTGATTCCAATAAGGCCAGTTCTTGTTGTTGAATGATGATTGGGGGAAAGTCTCCTTTTCTTTTGCCTTTGTTGAAGAGCATTGGCCCAGATTTTGTTGGTGGGAGCGAAAGATTATTGTTTATTTTGTCCATGGAAACTTTCATTGTATTTATCAGGTTTTGAATGTTTTCCCCCTTTGTGAATATGACGATATCGACTGCATTCCAGTCTGAATTGGAGAAAATAATTTTTTATTTTCCATCTGCCAATCACTTCTGTTTTTTAGCATTATTATTTCCATGACTTTGAAATTCTCTGGAATATTTTCAAACAAAAAATTAAAACACCCAGCAATCCCTTAAAATTACAAATTCTTAAAAAATGGCAGTCACAGATATAGACCCATCAGAATTTGAGACCCAACAAATAGCGGAAGTATATAAATTCGCTATAAATGAACTTAACGCAGCCCTAAGATATAAAAAAGACTCGGCTCCAGGAATCGACGAGATTTCCTACTCCAAGATAAAAAAATCACGTAATCAAAGCAAAGGAAACCCTTGTAAACATTTATAACGGCATCCTGGGGGGGAAAAGAACTCCCGCAGGCATGGACAGAATATCTAGTAATGCCCATAAGCAAACCTGGAAAAAACCCTGATACTCTGGAAGGTTACAGATCAATAACTTTGGCCTCCTGCTACCTCATTATTCATTTTATTCCATATTTCCTTTACATCAGAGTTTCTGTTTAGAGTAGAGGAGTATTTTATGAACTTTTTGTTTTTCTTCTCTTTGAAAAATCTTTCGGCTTTTTGCTATGGTAGGTATGTTCAAAGGTTGAGGTAATTTTCTATGGAGGGGTGATTGTTATATTGGTTCAAGGTAGTTCTCTCTTCAATTTCAAAAGGGTACATTCATTATTCCACCAAGTGTTTCCCGTTTTGCTTCTGTAGTTTTCTGGTGTTTTGGGGATATGTTTATCAGCCACTTCCTGTATTATATCGTTCAGTGTATTGAAATTTGTGTTTTGATTTAAATTTTTAACTTTATCATAAATATCCGCACATAATATGCAACCCATTTTGCTTTTGCGAACTGTCTTTTGGGATGGTATCTGACTATATAGAATCCGATTTTGCATATTGAGTTTTGGTTGATTTTGGTGATTGTAGAAAAATTATCGCTAGCCGGGTTCCTGAGTGAAAGTCCATGTGCAACGCGGGGCTCTTTGCGGTGTTGCAATGGAGATGTCTACAGGGTTTGGTCTCTCTTCCGGTGCTCTGATCCTAGTTGATGATCCGTCATCTAATAAAACTAAGTTGTTTTCAGACAAGAATTCTACCATTTGCTTCTTGTTGGTGTTAATTTTGGCGCTACCCCAATCTGGATGATGTGCATTGCAATCTCCCATGATGAGGAGTTCCCCTTGTAAATGGGCTATTATCTCCAAGTCTATTTTTCAAGTTAGAGATTTGATGTGCTACATAACTGGAATCTTTTCTCAGATTTTTTTCACTGAACTTAAGAGTGATGGTGGCGGCGGCTGTTTTCATTGATACCTATCAATTATGATGAAGTGAGTTCAGTGTGTGTCTAAAATCTTGTAAATCTATTTAGTTCTTTAAATACCAATATGCTAGTTGATGAACTAACTCGTATCACAAGTGCCTACTTCTCAGACTTTTTTAGATTATTTCTCTCAATTTTATAGATAACATTAACTTTGACGTGACTGTAGTACCCTCTGGTCTTCTTTCAAATCATGAAGCCAGTTAGGCTAGCATTTAGCTCAAGCACGAAAAATCGAAAACTGTTAAATGTGGCCGAATTTACAGCACAAGTAATTTTAAAGCGTTTAAGTCAGCAGCTGCTACTTTTGAATGGAATCCTATCCTGAATACTTCTGATCCGCTAAATGAATTCTAAAGAAAAACTAATGGAACTACATACCTATTTGAAAAAAGCTTCCCTCGAAGAAAGCTTAAGTATAAAAATAAAACTCTTAAATTACAACAAGAGGAATTGAAAGGTCTTCTCCAGAAACTTAAGATTTCTTCATACATTAAGAAAATTTGCTCCATTCAACAGTTATTTTAACAGATACATACGATTTACAGATGAATTATTAGAGATGCCAAACGGTGTAATGAAGCATCAAATAATCCTAGAGAAGTGTGGAAAATTGTTAATAAACTCAAGAGAACTTCGTTTTCGCGTTCAAATCATGTGGATATTGGGCCTAAATGAATATTACTGTAATTGCAATGTGACAGCAGGCCTAATTGATAAATTACGTAGTGAGATAATTCCTTATCATTTTTCAAAACATTATGTTTTGAAAACTTTCCTGCTTCGCTATACCGATGTAATTGGATTAAAAGCAACGTTCCGGGAAATAAATATTAAAAATTCCACAGGCATCCATGAAATGTCTAAGATAACGCGGCATAAATTACTCATCTTTGGCTATTAATCATTCGTTTAACACTGGAAATTTTCCAACTTCTCTAAACACAAGCATTATCCAACATATCTTTAAGGAGGGTGATGCCGAAGATCACTCATGATATCGTTCAATATCTCGGAAGCAGATGCAAAGTATTAGAGAATCTACTTAAATCTAGAATGATCGCATTTTCAACGAAATATAAAATACTAAACGACTACCAATTTGGGTACCAAGCTAAACATGAATATAGAGGTGATGCGATTCTCAATTTTCTGGAGTCACTCTTTCTTGGTCTGAATGATAGTGATATTGCTGCAGCAGTCTTTTGCGATTTCTCGAAAGCGTTTCACTGTGTTAATCGCGAATTTTGCTGGGGAAGCATAACTTCTTATCACGGTTTTAGGGAGGGTTGCACTTGGTTGGCTTGAATGATTTCTTAACAACAGGGAGAAGATTGTCAGGTTGTCAAGATAACACATCAGTGGCTCTTATTAATCCTGCCCCAAGGTTCAGTTTTAGGACCTAACGTGGATGTTGATGGAAAGTTGACATTATTATTTGCCGATGACACCACTGTTTTATGGATTGAACTTGAGTGACAGATTTTGCAAACTAAAGTTCAGAACAAATACCTACTAAAGCATTTTAGCTTAGAAAACTTTCCAAAACAAGAACGATTTAATTAACCTACTGCGAAAAGAAAGAAGAATGCATCAGTTATTTTACATAATATGATGGATAAATAAATAAGATTGTTCCATCTGTTTCGTGAAATAACAATAATTAAAAAATGTCCAAATTGGTTGTTAGCCTTGGCATTAAGATCCGTTATGATTGCCCTCGCATAGTCTATATAGTTTGGACATAAATTTAGCCATATTTTTCATAAAAACAAACTAAAATTCAAATAGATTACTGAGATATTAATTTATTGAAATGTTAAAGGCCAAATAAGTGGAAATATACTCTGACCGCTTTTAATAAAAATTAGAGCAAATTATCGTTATAGTTATTATTGTATTTATGCGAAATTACCAGATTCCTCTTATCAAATATCGTCCTACATTAATAAACGGAATAAGTTTTCAGTTACAAAACGTATTTCGAAAGTGCCTCACCAATATTTCCAGAAATAGCTTTCCATACATTTTGTTGTTGATAATTTATTTTAAAATAATCTTATTTATCTATTGTCTTCATCGTCCATTTGATCTTTGGAACTGGACTCGTATTACAAATTTATAAGGAAGTGCAAAGTTGATATAAATGAACGTGTCTGCGATTTAATTTACTCAATTTCAAATGTTCCTTATGAGTGTGACTGTGACAAATTTTGAATTTTTAAATTCTCACGTAACTTCAAACAATAATGGTTTTAGTGTTCGCAGTAAAAACAGGTACCTATACACCAACTGTATAATATTGACTTGTTGTTCTCGAACTTCCAATAACTCATTCTTTTAATAATAATACAAAAGACTGTGGGACTCATATTATTTAGAGGTAACCAAGATTATTCTGGTTGTAATGGGTTTTCCTGGAAAGTTCAAATGTAAAAACTTATTATGTGTCTTACACACTTGTTGTATTTATTTACATTGATAACAAATACTCTATTATTTATTGAAGTTTTCTTTTGCAGATTTTTTAACATGTCGTCAAGTACTAAACATAATGGTAATATTGGGCTTTATGTTCAACTACATGTTGAGAGTCAACCTGACTATTGCAATAGTGGACATGGTCGAAAGCAATACTACCTCTACAAATTCATCAAGAAACCAAACAGATGAAACACGTTTCAAATGGAATTCTGAACAGTACAATGCGATTTTAGGTAAGTTCTGGTTTGTAAACGTTTAAGTATGTTATCTCAGATTAAATCACATCAGATGCAAAACTTCATTTAAATATGTGGACCGCGGCGTGGCAGGCCATCCTATTTTTATTCTGTGTTGGGGTTTTATTGGTTTATTTTTCCTTTTCTGGTGTTTCCGATGACTCTGAAAAGCCTTTGTACCTACATCAAATTTGTTTCGGACATTTATATCGAAGACAGTAACTTACTATATTTCATTACAAGAGTAACCCATGTTTCACTACATTGTAGCTTCATCAGACTTACTTAAACTATGGTTTCAACTCTAAAGGTAAAGTAATTACTACAACCACCGGCCTTCCAGAAATTGCTATTAACGGAAACAAATATTCAATTCCACAAAAAGTACGCAACTCAGTACGATGAGTTAAGGTAATCCACACTGAATAATTATTGTATAAACTAAACTTTGTTGAGTTTCTCGTTTTGGATAATAAAAAAAAAACACCCAGAGATAAAACCAATTTAATCATTCACATTTAACAATAAATTTCTCAAACAAATTGAAACCTAAAAAAAAATCAAACAACAAAAGCCAAATAGGTACTCTGGATCTATAATTTTTAGATAGGTTATTCCAACTAAATGTGATATTCTCAAGTTGAGACTAACCTATTGGAAAAAGGTTTCAAATTTAATTTACCTGTATTTTCAGCTACCCCAAATAACAAAAAATATAGAACTTTTGGGAAAAGAAACAATTAACATTCCATTATAGGTAGGTAACAGATTGGGGCTACCAGAACCTACCTATACCTATATTGAAGGTCCTTTGTTATCCAACGATCGTACGCCTACCAGTAGGTCCTTTTTCATCCAACAGTTGTCAGCCTACTGGTAGGTCCTTTTTCACCAATTGATCGGGTGCCTACTAGAAGATGTTTTATTACTTTGGAATCCGTAAATCCTACCAGCAGTAAGCTCTTGCTAGCTAAATGCGTTAATAAAATTTTGTTTGTTTGTAGAATTATTGTCATTAACAAATTCGTACCTACACTGAGTAATAAGCTTTTATTAGTACCTAACATCTTTCTGATTTCGGCTTTAAACATAAACTTATTCTTGTTTGGAATCTGCTTCATTTCATTCTAGACGGCAACCTATTGAAAATCCTTCTGCACACAACTTGAAATTACTTTTGAGTCATGGATTGCTCGCTACGCTCGCCAAACCTCAAAGAGAGGATCCTCGGGAGTGTCAATCCACCAAAAACATGAAAAACCTTTTTCAAATATATCACCTTCTTTGTTCAAAATATTTTTGATTCTCCGATTGCCCGCTCTGCTCGGCTCACATCGAATCTCAAAGAGAATATCCTCGGAAACATACCCAAATTGACCAAAAACGTGAAAAATCTTCATTAAATATAACAATAAAAGGGCCTCATACACTACGATGAAACACGACGGTTTTCATCGCCACGATGAAACACGTCGTTCCAAAACCGAAGTGTATGGTAGAAAACCGTCATGTTTTTGTAGAAAAACACGACGGTTTTCCGCCACACACTTCGGTCTTGGAACGACGTGTTTTATCGCGGCTATGAAAACCGTCGTGTTTCATCATAGTGTATGGGGCCCTTAACACCTTGAAATTTAAATTATTTTTGAGGCTGATTACTCGCTCCGCTCGCCAAACTTCAAAGAGAAGATTCTCGGAAGCGTAAATCCACCAAAAACGTGTCAGTATTGTCACGGCTCTGGCTTGCGTGACAGAAATCTTGCACAGAAAAAAACGATTACTCACATCAAGTAAATATTTTTTTCTCATTTTTCCAAGAAAAATTTTGTAACAGATGAAACAAATATCTTCAAACGGAGAAATTGGGAACAATTAAAAATAGTTTACAGAATATTTGAAATGTTCGTTTAAATGAAGAATATATTTTTATTTAAAGTATATGTGTAATGTTAGCTCAAATAAATTTATTCTCAAAAGAACACGTCAAATTTTATCAATTTGATATACTAAAACATAATTCCAAGCCAATATATTCTCGTATCAAATATATGTGATTCTTTAGTTAAACTTTTGAAATTACTTTGTTTAATCAGGAAATAAAATCAATTAGAATATACCGAGGGGTGAACACATTTGGCAAAAAGTGTACACCTACATCCCTTTTCCGAGTAAATCATAGGAATTCCTTGGTAAATTAAATTATTTGAATTTTACCTGACATTTTTTAGTTAAAATTTTGCTATTTTTGTCATATTTCTTCCAAAATAAAGGTTAAATTCCTGGAAGCGATTTAACCGCTGTGAAACCGGTATACAACTGGCTTTTTAATTATTTATAATGCCCTAGGGCGTTATGAGAAAATAACATCCCCAGGTTAATTATATCTATAAGAAACCTGAAATTAGGTTGATTATTGTCAAATAATAAACTGTAATGACATAAATTCTTTATTGGTGTGAGGTCTTGTTATTTTATTCACATTTTTGCACAATATATATCATACAAAAACCGTAACAAATGCTAAAAAAAAACAACATAACACAAAAGTGAATCCTTACATACCTAAATGGAAATAAATGAAAGTTCAAATCTTATTTGGATTAGGAAAAAATTAACCTAAGTAAATTAGGAGGGAATCATAAGCTGCTTTTTTTAGTATATGCAAGAGATATAGTTTCACATTCATCTTTGGTTTACTGAAAATCTTGATTATCATTTGAATTAGGCGTAAAACATCTAGGCCTTAAAAAATAAATTCTTTGTCGACATCTGCATTGTCTGCCTTTTTCTGCCAAAAGAAGGTAGGTACCTACTTTCACTTTTCTTTTGCATTAGAAATTTTATTCTGAAAGTTTCGCCTATTAGTTTTTCAATACTCCCTACATACCAGCTCGTATCGTAGTATACTGCATAAAATTTGTTAACTTCTAATTGAAGTTTCTGCTCGAGTTCATGTTCCTTGGCAATATCATTATCCTCGTCATTATCCGAGTCATTCTCTGATCCTTTTCTGCTACTAATGCTGCAAAAACTGTCGGTGTCAGTGCTGTCATCAATATCATCATCTTCCGAAGATGTTTCAGATGATGAAGCAAATCTCGAAGAACTCTTTCTTCCGAGTTTCTTTTTTTGTTTTGGCTGGGGATTTTTGTGTCTCCTATTATTTTACGACAACGCGTCGACGAAACTTGTTTCTTGACTCGAGTTTTCTCTTTCTTGGAATTGTTTAGAATAAAGCGCCTCAGACGATCCACACTGACTGACTTTATTTTTTCTCTCATCAAGTAGCCAACACAACACAATGATGAGTTCTTTATAACAGCTGACTTATTTCCAATAGCTACTCGAACCATGGCTCGATTCTCATTTATACAAGCGTTATCACCCTCGACAAACTTCCACGAAAAATCTTTCATGACTAGTTTTTCTCCCATTTCTGCTGATGAAATATTACACATATCCAAAAACAAACTACTCTCTTGATTATCAAGGTTATTTTTCTCATTTTCTGTCTGTACTGGTAGGGCACTAAAATGTTTTGAATGATTTCATCCAAGACTGGATCTGAGATTTCATCATTCTCAATGTCACTCACCATTAGGGTTGCCAGGGCTGGAACTCTGTAACGGATAGCGATCAATATCTCTATCTCTCGTGGCGTCCCCTCTCTATTAATTTGGATAAAAGAGAAGAAGACAGCAAGTGCCATAGCGATAGGGATAACGATCTCTATCCGTTACAGAGTTCCAGCCCAGACGTCCCGATTTTAACGGGACAGTCCCGATAGGGCACTTTCCAAATTTCACCGATAAATTGGCCGGTTAAATAAACCGGTAGCTGTCCAAAAATTCCGGTAAAAGTCAGATGCAAGTCCGGTTACAAGATCTCTCTGGTGCATTTTGGAACGCTTTGGTGTCAAAGTTTGGTGGTGTTGCTTATTATTTTTTGGAATGGATTTTTTTGTGGGATGCAGTAAGGTTAGTATGTATTTTTATTATTTTTAACAGTCAACAAACGGTAGTTTTCAGTACGATTTTTGTAGATTATGTGAGCTGAGTATTTAGTTTGTCGATTTCATAATGACGCCCACGCACAAACATTTTTTTATTCTGCCATCTGCAAGCAGCAATTTAACAATAGACTGCCAATAGTGCCCATTCAAAGCAATTAAATTAATGTACGTCAAAAAAAAAGTGTCAATAAACCTTCAACCGAAAAAACCGACAAAAATTACCGGTGGATTCGGTGCCTCACCGGTTTTAAACAGCTGATCATTCCGGTCAATTTTGGAACGAACGATCGGGTTCAACCGGTAAAAAGTCGGTACATTTTGGAACGGTTTGGTGAGTAAACTATTAAACCGGTATCGCACCGGTTCAGAAACCAGTGAATTTTGGAAAGTGCCCATATTACAGATTTTGTCCCGTGTCCCGATGGACTATGCGTCGGGACGCTGAATGTCCCGATTTCAGTAAATTCTTTTGAGAGTTCAAAAAATTAGAAGTGGTACATAAGTACCAAAAATAACTTACTTATAAAAGTAAGTTATTTTGAATTGTTATACCTACTGGTTAATTATCTATATCTATTATTATTATAACTATTATCAAGATTTTTATGGTTTCGACGATAAAAATAAACTATTGCATTTCATTATTTTGCCATATTTTTAAATTTTATTAGAAATTTTATCGTTCTCCCTCCCCATCAAAGTTTGGGCCTGCGAGTGACGTCACTATCAGCAGCTTATACTCATAACGTCACCCGCAGACCTCGATGGAATGCTCGCAATTCAGGCTGTGGCCGGCTGTGCTAGTAATTTTTTCGTCGATTTTAAATGTAGAAAAGGTGATTCTCGGTCTCTTTTCACAGAAGAAATTGAGTGTTCTTGATCCTCGAGTATTCCAGAATTTGATGGTGGGGGAGTTAGGGGACACAACTGACACAAATCCAGCATAAATATGCTTGATTATCCTCGCGAAAAATTGCCTATTGGT